TGCCCTCATCAATTAATTCATGTTCTTTTCCTCTGAGTGAGGATATGTTCCAATTTCCGACTTTAAGCTCTCACTGGTGGTGTCGTTCTCGTGGAGCCTTTTCTGACGTACTACAATGGCATCGCGCTGTCTGCCTCCTCCGTTCAGAACGGGTAGCGACTCCATTGCTGACTGGTATCTTCGACGTCGTTCAGTCTGTCTTCATCAGCCGTTGTTTTGCTGTGACACCCCAGGCTGACAGAACGCGGTGAGCAGGTTCTTCTCGTTGACTTTTCGACGTCTGCATGGCCCTTTTTAACCCGGGTGACGACTGAGCCGGTAAAATTTTCGATGACGTCAATACCATGAGTGACAGGTGGCTAAATTTTACGGAGACTTGCCACTGTCTCCAATCCTCCTCCTTTTTGAATCGGGCTTGGGACCGGCAACGACGGAGTTCGCCTTGAGTGATATTGTTTTCTTTCTAAACTTCAAGGAAGTGCTACCCATATCCAGAGAATAGAAGTGGGCAATGTTTCATGATCGCATTATGATTCATGCGTTTTTGTTAATATTTTCAGTCAGCGTTATGCTCTTTTCATGATCACTACTGCTCATAACTGACCATTATAGAAGAAAAATGATTGATTGATCGTTTTAGGCTAAAATTCGGTGGAGCAAAGGGTATGAAGGTAATCCGAATAACAGTTTGCGATACCACCATTGTAAGGTCTAACGAGTCTTCGTTTATGAAGTGAAGTTTAGCTAGCCACATGAACAAAATAAAATGGAATATCGAAGCGTGATTTTCGGTGCTGCTCGTGACGGCAACCTTCGACGGTTGCAAGTATGTTGATGCTAATTTGTTGTTATAATATTATAATTATAATTATCACAATACTGTAGATTTTTTATAGAAATTAGTCACAAAAATATCCATTGTTTCATTAGTCTCGGTAAGAGTCACGTCCACGGCGGTACACGCCATAGCTCTGTACACTTGATCCGATTACGCCATGGATGTGTCATCCTGTGTTAAATCATATGATGCATAAATTCAAGTGATTTTCCCAGACCTTGTACAATCCTCATAGTACATATGATATTTAGTTCTGTACAGTTTTTCGTGCCATCACTTGGCAGCATCCAGATTTTTTTGGTCTTTGTAGGAGTTATGGATCTGTCCTTGACGGGTGCTCGAATACTCTGGATTAATAGTCTCTTGGAAAGGAGCAGTTCCATTCGCCGTTAAATGCTGTTTCTTGGGAAATTAGTGTTGTGGCTGTAACATGCTTTTGCAATAAGCCATAAGCTGTTACGTGCAACCTTGTACTCTGTGGTATATTCCATCTACGGCGAGTAGATAATCCCATTGCTGTTTCTCTATGTCAAAAATATTGGAGTTATCGCTCGTATCTTCTTAAAAACGGCCACTGAGCGTTCACTTGTTGCATGATGATAAATTTTATTGTCGTTTCAGGAGTGCTGCAACAGTCGTACATATTACCACTTCTTAGTTCATTCAGTAGACGCATTACTGTTCCAGTTTTTGAGCAGGAGGATACCAGCTGTATGATGAATACTTATAAGTATTAGGCCTGTACAAATTTAGGGGTCAAACGGCTTGGATGAATCGAGAGTGATTATCTCATGGGCTCAAAAACGTCAAGTAGCGCTGTTAAGCTACTGAAATATTTTCTGACCAGGGCGGGGAACCTCACTGCTGAGTTTTTTGGAATTCATCGGCCTCTGCAACAAATTCTCGTCAATTGAGTTCTTTTGTCAAAGTATTTAACGCGATGTCACGTTTTGGTGGTGTCAGTGAATTTTGCTTCGTTTTCAATGTCAGAAAGCAAGTGATATAACATTTTGAACCGATTGCAGCTTCTGGTTATGGATGACAAGCAACTTGTGCAATTTGCTTTGTTTTTTTTAACAGTAATCGATAAAATTATCATGACGTTTTTCTCAGTATTCCGTATATTTTCCTTTCCAGATTCTTCTGGGCATGCGACGTGAACACGAGGTGCGGTTTCTTCTGAGCGCGTGCACATTTGGAGCTCCGCCGATTTTGACGGCTGCCAGAAACGGACATGCTGATATCGTGGAATATTTGATATCAAAGAATGCCGATATCGAACAACGAGGTGTTACCGAAATAGACGGCGAAAAGATAGGTATAACTCGATTTAGTTCATTCTTATACTGATTGATTAATATTCATTTATCTCTAAAACTTATTAGCTCTTTCAAATTACTGAGGCGCGGCTGTGTCAGGAGGTCTTTCCTTATCTGTCACCAAACTCTGTGGTTTAAATTCCAAGGCGCGACAGTAAGTCTTCTGCTTAAGCATTCATCTTGTCTTAGGTCTAATGGTAGGATGTTTTCCCTCTACCTTTGCCATGAGAGTGCATCTGAATAGTTACTCTTGTAGCACCGTTCATCGATGCTGATAAATTACATCTATGAGTAACTTCGCGTAGTTGGAACAACCGAGTATTGTCCATAAAAAGCCCTGAACTGACATAACTTAATTCTTTTTAGTGTTGCTAATTAATTCTTCTTGATTCTAATGATTAAGTAAACTATTCTTGAAGTACACGTTTAGAAGGAGCGACCGCGCTGTGGTGTGCAGCGGCGGCTGGTCATTTCGACGTCGTTAAGCTCCTGGTCAAAAATGGTGCCGATGTCAATCGTCCATCGGGGACCAACAGTACGCCACTGAGAGCGGCCTGTTTTGATGGCTACTTGGAAATAGGTTTGTTTCCACTTTGTTTGTTTTTTTCTTTTTAATGAAGCTCGATTTGTAGTCCGATTCTTGGTTGAGCACGGTGCGGATGTCGAAATTGCCAATAGACACGGTCACACCAGCTTAATGATCGCCTGTTACCGTGGCCATGTGAAGGTTGCAGAATATCTCATATCCGTTGGTGCTAATGTCAATCAGAAAAGTTTGAAAGGTATTTGCTGTCAGTCGTTATTAATGACAATTAACAAAGTTAACGCTTTCGACTGGCAGCCTTCATATTCGGCTGGTTTAAATATTACATTTAAATTACTGATACCGGGTTTACGCAGCGAAAACACACCGGCTTTTTGCCTTCAGTCGTCTAAGGGACTATTTAAGTATCTTCGAGCTCTTCCGAACAAAGGCATGTTCGAGCAAAAGCAAGATTCCACGTATCATCCCTATTATAAATATGTTTTAATGTAAATTTTTTCAGTCGTGTGAAAGGGCAGGGCATCGATTTAGGATTTGAATCTTTTATCAGAAGGCGAATTGCGACACCTCGCCTCTAGGTCGGTCGAAACATGTTGCGGTGAAACGTGAACACTGTCTAATCGATGGCATTAAATTATCAAAACTTTTAAATATGTGAGCATCAAACAGTCGTCTTTTGGCCAGTGGAGATCTGACGAACTTCAACGAATGAGACTCTGTGCCATCTGCGTGGTCTCTTAAAAACATTGGGACATAGGGCTGTCTCAGTATACGCCCTATTCAATGATTTCAGTGTTTTTTTATGGCGCTGACACGAACTGTACTGCAACCTCATGTTAGTAAGCTGTCAGAGGCCATATACCTTTAGGTGGCCAATTCATGACATGAATTTTCTCAGCGAACTGTTCTTTCTACCATCGGCAAAGCTATCCGAGTAATTGCGTATTTTGGTCATATCTTCAAACTGATCTGTGCCATCCTCTTGAATCACTCTCATTTGATCTTCATTCAAGTTAACCAGCGAAATGGCTTAACAGTTGCCACGTCTGTCATACAGATACAGAAACGAATGGTCGACTCCCTGTAGTAAGCGACACCCCCAAAATAATATCCTTACTTTTGTGCTGGCAAGCATCATAATAAACTTTATCAAGCGATGCACTGTTACAGTCCGTGAGCATGAAGTAATCTTCTCAAATCCCGACCTGTTAATCCGTCAAAAAATCAGTATGGCACCATTTATTGGACTGAAATTAAGATAACCTTTCTGGACACGTGACGCTTGGACGTTGCCGACGGGAAGGATATAAACACCCGCTGGATTAAATAATGTACTAGATTTGATGTTACCGAAAGATTCCTCATTGAAGGTCAGGCCAAGGAGCTAGGGGTTTTTGCTTATTTCAACGAAGAGCGATCGCGATCGGTCCTTGGCCACCTCTGACACAATGGAGTGGCGAACAGAACTAGAGTTACAAGGATAAGAACAATCGACAGTTGCTATGCTATAGGATAGAAGAATGACGAAAGTAGTCCTCTTTTCTGTGGTGTCGTTTATCTACCCTTAGCGGCTGTATTCGCAACATCGTGATTCACATATAGTTGCTGGTTGATTCATAGTTACACTTCCGCCCGACTACGCGTTATGGTGATATGGCTGGTATTCTAGGCATTATTGTTAATAATGAGACGAAGAGGCAGTGAATGATAGTGATAATGACGAGATCATATTGCGGAGGATAATCATGATGATTATGATCATGATAGTATTAATAGCACTGAATTTGTTTCAAAGTGATAAGTGAATAAAGGAGGCCGCCGTGAATATTTTATGACCGTATCTCTAAGAAATGGGTTTTCGTCTTTTCAACATTTAAGCATAAATTTGTGTTCGTGTGTTTACAGTGAGTTTGCACTTGGTTCTGAGTCCGACACCCTATCGACTGAGCAGTCTTGCTCATAACTAGTAACCTGGTTTATAAGAGTCTGCAAATCAGATTCACGAGGTTTACTACAGCTTTAATAAGCCCATTCGGGTACCGCAGTATCTACCCCTTTGAAGCCATCACAGTAATGATGGTGAAGATGATAAATGAGCAGCACTATTTGCGTCCAAAAGGGGTGTTCGTTTAAATTTGTATTCTTGCGCCGCTTTTTAGTGTTTTTTAAGTAGCTTAAAACGAGATTCTGATGGCCTAAAGTTCTCATGTCTAAGGCATCGTTTTGTTAGCCATAGAATTGCGCTTCATTTTGTATGAAACTTATAGTAACTTATATAATCTGTTTATTGCAATGGGATATATAAAGTTTTTTGAGTTAGAAATTTGAAGAGTTGTAAGTTCTCATAATATGTTTGTTTCTCACTTTTAGGGAACACTGCTTTGCACGATGGTGCTGAGTGTGGCAACGTAGAGATCGTAAAACTTCTTTTG